TATTAAATAGATATTTTTCCACAATCTATAGGATTTAAGGTGTTTTTATAAATTAGGTGTCTAATTTTTAAGTATCAAATGCATTTTTGATGAAGATTTGAATGTTATATTACAAGATTGATATGTTGATATTCAGTTTTTATATTATCAGTAAGTGACCTACATTGAAAAGTAAAGATTTTTCCCCCAACTCATTCTGTTTAAGAAAGCTAGACCACTAAGCTGCATTTTAATTCAAAGTTACACAATGTATAATTATCAGTATGCAATTTTGGATATATATTTTATTCCTATCAAGCAACAATGAATGTTTAACATTAAAGTAATTGACTAAAATATTTTTCACTAGATAATAGATTAATGGCAATTTTACAGATATTTTTCACGATTTACATTAATATTTATTAATGTCAGGAATTAGCAATAAAATGTATGTGTCACAGAAATGGCACCACTTTTAAGATTGACATTTTGTTGGCATCTTCATAGTTTGCTTGCCATGGGTTCTTTACCTTTGTTTCATGTGCTTTACCACAAAACTATCATTGCTCATCTGTTCCTAGGCTCCAAAGATTGTCTACATAAGGGGTCACCAAACTCGGTCCTGGGGGGCCGGTGTCCTGCAGAGTTTAGCTCCAACTTGCCTCAACACACCTGACTAGAAGTTTCAAGTATACCTAGTAAGAGCTTGATTAGCTGGTTCAGGCGTGTTTGATTAGGGTTGGAGCTAAACTCTGCAGGACACCGGCCCTCCAGGACAGAGTTTGGTGACCCCTGGTCTACATAATTTGATTTAACAAATATGTTGAATTCTTGTCATAGAAATTTGAATGATATACACAAGGGAAAACATTTTTTTCCCCTTTTCTTTCTCTAGTGAGGCCAACTGTGCCAAGGCATGACCAAAACCTTCACATCTACTATAATTACAGGAATTCAGTCAGGTCAGATGAGTGTGTCCACTTATCAAATATCAGAGTTGCTGGAAAGATCAGACCTCCCACATAGCACCAGAACACTGTGATAGATCCGTCTTGGCCACTGCATGAAGATAAGTAGCACTTACAGTTTATATTTTGCCTTTAAAAATTGCAGAGGCTTTTTCCAGCTTTATCAGCATTTATTTAATCAAGAGGTTGGCTGTTATCTATTCCTGGACATTATGAAGCAAATTCCTATGTAAGTAAGAGAGGAGTCAAAGACCAAATGGAGGTAGAGGTGACTGGGAGATACAAAGCACCTTAGCATTCTTTGATGCAAGCATTTTACAGAGAGTAATAATAACATAATATCTGTAAGGAATCTAAACAATCATCTTCAGACTGTCTCATGAAAGCACCTCAATACCTTTTAAGGATCATTTTGGTTTTGTAAATGAACACAGTACAAGCATGAGCATAGGAACGACCTAAAAAGTGTTTACATTTTATATTTTTTAAGTTTTCAATTCCATTAGCCTTGCTTCACTATATGACACAATTTTAATGTTAAACACCGTTTAAACAGATAAATTCCTATGGGACACAATTTGAAAGCATAACAATGGAACGTTAAACATCTATCTAGCATCATTAATTAAAATGCATGACAAAATGGCAGAAATTGAACTGTAAGGTACTTTGCATCTATTTTATGGTGTGTTGAGCTTTTTGTATGCCGAATTGTCTAATTTGATATATAATAACAAGGCAGTTTATCATAATACTAATAATTTAGATGAGAATGAATTTTAAACGTGTTACACAACCTGTTATGGGTTGTGCATCTAATTTATTTGCCCACATATTTTTCTTTATCAAAACCATGATGTTTGTCCATATTTTCATAGCATTTATTATTATTCAAACTCATCTCACTGATGTTTTACAATTGTAAACCCTAATAAACCCCACTTAAAGTATGCAAATATGGTCTGTTAACAAACACTAATTAAAAGCAGAAGGTGTTGTCTGACCTTTGGAAACAGAGAGAGAGTTTTAATCATAGATCGTTTCCTAATAAGGCAAAGCTCTATCCTGACTCTTTCCAGGCTTTTGAAGACAGCTGCAGTAACTATGACGGGGATGAAACCACATCTGAAATACATTTTGCAATACTAGGTCATTTACTAAAACCATATGTCCAAAGATTGGTCTTGGTATTACTCCTGCATTTTTCATTCTTGAATGTTTTTCTATTGAGATACACAGCAAAATAATTTGCTTTTTATTTCTTACCGGCGTTAACAGGAACTCTGCATTTATTGGCTTTTTAATAACAGTTCTGTTTGAACATCACACCAATCAATCTGAGGTTATGTAGTTGTCTCGTTGATTGATTTAACATGTTAGTTGATTGGTTGATGTGGTTTATTGTTACCTGAAAATGTGAGTCCTTGTGTGGCAAGAGTGCTAGCCTAGACCAACAAGAAAGACTTTTAAAATGTTTACTTTTGAATTTTCAGAACACACGAATGCCGAAAGGTGAACCATTATCACAATTAAAACACATCGCATTATGTATTTGGCTGTGTATAGTTGGTATGGATATGCCATCATCCAAAACCAACTCTGTGAAATCAGTTTGACAGCTGAACCATAAGAGATTTGTTAGAGTTTGTGTTTCATATCATAACCATATTGAAACAAATAAGAAAAGCATGCCTAGGTTGGGATTCTTCTCAAAACACCACAAAGGTAAAATGGAGCATAAAATCAACAATTAGCTGTATCTGGCAGTCATGTCTGAGAGATGCAGACAGTTTGATTAACTCTGACAGTCTTTTTTTTTTTTACGTAGAGCATGGCCCATAAATCATCTGAAGCATGGCAGTGAAATCGCCATTTATTGAACTTATGCTCATTGTTGACATAAGACTGTTGCAACATTCTAGAGAGGATTAACATGCTTGAAAAACAAGCAGTACGAATGAATGCTGCCATTTATTATATATTAAAAAAGTATATTCAAGTAATTTCACTTTATGAATAATTTACCTTGGCCATCGTACATGTATTCTTTTCTCTGTAATTATGTACCAGTCTGTGTGTTTGGCCTGAACTTTTCAGCTGCTACCTATCAAGGCATAAACCCTCATTATGAAAAGTCCCTCATACATCATAGTGAACCAAGTTCACAGATCAACTCGTATCAACTAAGCAAAATAAACTCAAAATAATCTAAATGTTCTAAATGTGCAAACTGAATTCTAGGATAAATAATACTAGTGTTTTGTAATGGTGTGACTATACTGGTCAGGATGTTCTGTACATATTAACCATATAAATTATCTGTATGGACCAATGACTGTACAAACTGTACAAATGACCATCACAAATGTGTTTCAAAACTAAAACTTTGAATTACTAGTTTAATAAAGACTGTAAATAACACGGTGTGCAAAAGACATTAACATTTTTATAGTCTTTATTTTATATTTGTGCTAGAATTTTATGTACAAAATGATTGCCAACATAAAAAATGGGAATAGAGAAACATTGAAACTAATAGTGCTACACCACAAGATAATTTGATGGGAAAAAAATGAAGAGACACGTTATGCAATGCACACTATACATTCTTAAATGATTGGTGACATGCATTTTAGACAAAGCTGTGGACTAAAATGTCAAGAGTCTTGTGTTACGTTACAATTAATAAAACCTCCTTTCACCTGCAATGCAAACAGCGTTATACACTAACAGTAGCGAGTTGTGAGATTACATGGAAAAATGTCCTGCAGAAATGAACACTTCTATCAGTATTGTTGACGTTATATGCTATTGAGTACTGTTCTTTTATAATAATTTTACTAGTCAGAAAACAGCTTGTTCTACAGCAGATAAAGTATAGGCCTATGTATACAATATTCTACCATCAAACAGAATCCATAATCAACTCAGTCATAGGGGTCTGGGCAGTTCAATTTGTCATACATGGCTTTAGCAGTGCAATAAATGTTATGCATATATATCTTGCCAGTAATTAAGCAAAGCAGACCTCCTATTATTCACCAGAGGACTGCTAAACAAGTTTGATGACTGATTGGTACAGGTCACAGAAAGGACTGTGACCGATGCACACTGTAAAATAATGTTGTCTATTGAACTTGGAGTAACTCTAGCAACTTATAATAGACTGGATAGACCAATTTCAGTGTTTGCAAACAGTGATTAAGTTTTTGTGGGCGGAGCCTATCTGGTGGCAGAAAATGACCGTTTTAAAGTAGCAGTCTATGGAAGCCATGGAATAAAAGAATAAAAAAGGTAATTCTGACTTTTTTCTCTCAATTCCAAGATTATATCTCACAATTCTGATAAGAAAAATCAGCTCGTCATTCTCTCTTTTCCCCTCGGCTCAGAATCATGAGTTTATAATCCCACACTTCTGTCTTTTTTTCCCTCAGAATTGACAAACTCGCAATTGTTGAGTTAAATTGAGTTATAAAGTCCGAACTAGGAGATATAAACTTGCATTTGCGGAAAAAAGGTCAGAATTGGCCTTGAAATAGGTAAATGTTATAGGTTTAAATAGTAGGCTATTTCATGCTGTAACTGCAGAGCTATACAATATGTCCCCTATGAACTGCATATGTGAATATTATGTAGACCTACTGTTTAAATCAAATTTATGCTTTAAAAGTAGGGTAATCATAGCAGGTTTCATATAGTATAGTCTGTCCGTTTAAACGTCTGCGTTTAGCTTTAAATGGCATCTTTGACGACAGTATTCTATAAAAATGATTTGCATTACGATTCTGACATCCAAAGGCACAACAATAAATTTTTTTGTCTTATTCCATGGATTTTACCCATTTCCCTCCACTTGTTACCAGTGTTTTTCTGCCACAACAATGTTCGTGCAGCTGCAAGTGACATAACTGTGGCGTCTACTCCAAATTGGTCTATATGCCTAAAGAAATGGCTTATATGGTACTTTCACAGTGTGTGCAAAATTGTATCAATAAATTGTGAAGATGTTTGGCAGAGAATTATGCGTTGGAAATCTGTTGTAGTATTTTTTTAGAAAAATTTAAAAGAAAAGTCAACAATCAATTGTAGGTGAATTATGATCATTTTACAACATATTATCACCAGTTTGGATATATACAAAAGTGATCCGTTGGTTGTGGTGGAGAGTTTGTCTACTGTATCATTCATTATCTTTTCAGTCTTAAACAGCACAGATCCAAGACAAAACACCTCAAGTGTTTGACCTATACATGAGAAATATATATATAGTACATGAATAATGAAAAATAAAACAATATTTTGGGTTGCCTGGATGTGCAAGTTCATAAAGTAAGTGGGAGCTCTGAGAATGTTTATTTGAAGACATTCTCAAAAGCAGGGCACTTGTGGCTTTTGAGTTTTTTCATGGTCTTTTTGAACTCCTTGCTGGATTTGTCCCACTTGTGAATGCCGGTGAGAATGTACTGTTTGTCCACCTTGTGTCCCATGATAAGGTATGTATTTCCGAGATTTTCTAGCTGCGTGCAGGGGCAGTCGGCTCCGTTCTTCAGGTACAGAGTGAGTTTCTTCAGGTCCTTCTTCTTCAAAGTGCCCAGGTTTAGGGGTTTTTTCCTCTTCTGCAGGATCACCTTGCGATCCGAGTTCTCCCGTTTGACCTCTTTGATCTTGGTCTTTATGGCTGAAAAAAACAGAGATATGGACAAGGTTGAGAATATGGATAAAGAAAACAGAGAGAATTGCGATCAGCTTTCTGAATCTTCTCCAGTGGGTGGAGAGGAGACTGAAGATTACATCATCTTGCCAGTAAATAATAGTTTTCGGTATTTCTTCAAAGTAGGCCCTTATGTTTATTTCCATAATGACATGTAGATTTTGAGCCCCCACACTGTTTTTAAACACTGCTCCCACCTACTGCATCTGTTGTGGTCTATGATATTGCAAAGCTTTGTTCAATCTTGCATCGTATCCCTGGACAGTGCAGCGCTCTCTCGTCTACACAAAGTCATCTAATCTCTCAGGCCATGTGCTAGGTTCAGAGAGGTCAAAAAGGGTTTTGGGTTGCAAGGGGTATCACTGTCAGTTCCCGAACATCCAAGGCCATAAAAGAGAGATTAGACTGCTAAGTAATGCAGGGGACATAAAGAGAGATGAAGGAATGGAGAATAAAAAGCAAATGAGAATGTGTAATCAATATCAGTCCTGTCTTCTCTGCCAATGGTCTCAGGGCAAAGCCATAATGATACTGGTCTCTCTGTCATGAATTCCGTCAAGTTCAAGAAAAAACATCAGTATCCTTGCAAACCAAAACCGATCTCATAGCCGTATTCTTTTCCCAGGGGGCAAGAATGTCCCAAATTGCAGCTTCACTGCCCTCTGCCCCTCTAGACGTAACTAGATACTAGGTTTTGTTCCTTTGAATACCTCTCTTATAAGCTTGGGGCAATTAGTCAAAGGTCAGAATTTTTCTTGGCCGTAGGTGAAATGTTACTCATTTAACTATTACTCCACTGGAAAAAAAAATCATCATCAAAAAACACTCATCAAGCACCAAAAGTAACCAAGGATGCACTGATAACAAAAATTCTGATAATTATTTTTAAGTTATGTCTCATTAACACAAAATGTCTGATATATTTTATATATATTTTATAGGTTTTTATTTACTGTGTGGAGATGTGCTGATATTGTGTTTGGTCTCGTTCTGTATCACGTATCTTGTTAGTGTCTGCGCTTGCTTGGCCATTTGTTGTGGCGTTTTTTTTTTAACCTTAAACCGCATAAACACATTTCATTACACCAAATACACAAAATAATGTTCTTTTTAGCAACATCATATGACCCCTTTAATCTGTCTGATCTGTCAGTAAACTCTCTTTAACCTGTTAATCTTTTAATTTCCTTAACCTTCACACGAGTCAACTCCACGGTGGTCCTGCCATAATATAACTTCAATGGGTGTTACTTCCTCACACCGCCTCGCAGGTGATTTTTTTTTCTCCTTCTGGGTTAATGATGGAGAAATACGAAGAACGTAACATCTTATCAACTTCAACGGTCTAACATCAGTGACCCACCAATGAACTTCAGAAGAATTTGGTCCAATTAGCAGGCCGATCCTGAAGACCCGTGGAAATGAGCAGACATCGGTATTGAGATTTACTGCTAATTATGCTTTAACAACCTGATCAGTCTCCATTGGCTGTCAGTGAGCAGACCACAGTGAAACTAAATCCTCATCATATCCTCTTGAACCTTGACTTATAAATATCCTCTGCAGCCTGGAGCATGAAAATATAATGCTTGATCATTGCCAAGGAAAGTTAAAGTCCCCCATGAGGACCCCTTTTAAGTCATGAGAGCAGCTTCTCACACTGTTATACTGTAATTCAAAGAGTTACATGATGTAAGAAATTATAGTCTGCCTCGACCCAGCTTCCACTCCAAATTGTGTATTAAACTATGCTCCTTTCTCTACAAAGAGCTTAATTATCATATAGATAGTTCTTTCCGATCTTAATCATATGTAAATAGTACCTCCGGAGCGATAATTTGTCACTTATAGCGTGGGAGAAGCAGCAGGTCGTCAAGAACCATCTGCTGACCAAAAGGGTACATGAAATAACTGCTATGGATTCTGTTTAATCTTATCACCTTAACATTTGGTTGTTCCCACTTGAGTCTACCGAAGATGTGGGAACGGAAGGCTATCACTTTCATTGTCATCCGCAATTTACATTTAAAACGAAACTTAATTTACATGTTGAGCGGGAAGATGAACGTAATACTGTATAAAATGATTGAGCTTAGGATGTTCGGGGTTCAGTCTGACTCCGTTGAACCCAAGGTACTACATGTACTTTGTCACTACTATTCTGTAATAAAAGTTATTCTTCATCAAGATCTTCGACGTCTTCACTTTTTCTTACAATGATGAAATGTGTTTTAGTCCGCAAGCCATAACCTCATATCTCACACCTCCTCACTTCTAATGACTCTTGCAGAAATAAGCCTGTCTTCCCAGTATTATTAGTGCACATGGAAGGGATTACAGCTTGATCTGAAGTCTATAAAGAGCTTAGTGTTTGATGAAATAAAAAAAATGGTCTGAAGGTTAAAGAATTATCAAGTCAGGCTAGAAAGAGTCTTGCCTACCTCCCACATCCACTTTATCTTAGTTCAAATCCCGCTTTAACTCCACTGTGAACTCCTTTTGCACCTTGTGTTTGTGAATGTAATCCTTACAAATGCAGGGACATGGGTACAGTTGAATACCTTCAGATGTGGCTTTACAGCTAATACGTGTAACACCACACTTTCCGAACAATAACAATGGGAAAGCTATAATAGGTTTGGTTTCTCTTGTTCTCTGTAATCCAGTGTCTCGAAAAGGTCAAGCCAAAATAAATCGCCATATAAATCAAGCCGTTGGAGATGCCTTTCTAATGTCTCTCAAAGTGACAAATCAATATCAGTGTTGACTAGCATACCACTCCGCAAAGTCTACACAGATGTGAGGATAGTATAAGCAAATATTGTGCGCAATGACCGCACATAATTGCTGCATTCATACAACATACTACAAAAATACGAAGCAGCCACCATTTCCAAGCACAGTCGGTAGATCAGATTCTAAACACAAACCCGAGCAGATGTTTCAATCTCAGATGGTCCAAATAAGTAATTCATGCTTGAAAGCTTTGGTAAATATTTGATAAATAAGATATAAACAAAGAGAGCATATCTCAGAAATCGTGTGGTCACAATCAGTGTTCTTTCCAAAATTAAATTAATAATTTTGATAAAAAACAGTAAAAGTATTCACATTTCATCTGTGATAACCATTGCTTTAAAAAACCTTTTAACCTTCGTCCCTGATCTTTGACCTGGCTTCCTCTGTCATTTTGGAGACATGTCCAGAAGTAATGATGCCATAAACTCAGTAGGGAGAGTTTGGGCTGAAACAATTCACAAACATGGCACCTGTGGCTCGGGGTGAGCTCCAGTTAAAATGGTGCTACACCATACAGTTTTACTACAGGAAAGCTGAGCATGCATCACTGACCACAGGATTGACAGCCAACTAAAGTGTGTTAATGCAGTACTGTTTTGTCGGAAAGAAGAGATAGAATGGCAATAAAATGTATCTATACTTTGTCTTCTGTTTCCATATTCTTCAAATATCTGGTATTCACAAATCTTTAGGATTTTCTGAGTATCCAGAGCTGTTGTATAGAACGTCTCAGGTTACTTGTGTAACCATGGTTCCTTGAGTAGGGACGCAGAGCGTCACACCATGTGAAAGTGAAACCTGAGTGGTGAACTCATTTTCGGCAGCTGAAATTTCGGTGCATCTCTAATTATTGGCGACATCAGAAATGGATATTATATAATAGATGCTTTTTTGAACATTTTAGCAATTTAAAAATATAAAAAAAAAAATTTTTTACACGACAGTTGATACACCCTGGTTGGGAAACATTGGTATAGAATATGTATAGAATGTATAGAAGCTTGATGGAGAGACTAACCCATGCATTTACTTCCTCGCTTAAAGCAAGATTTCACAGCATGAACCCTGCCTTCCCTCACTGTCTGTCTTTGGCAGTATCCTGGATAACAAACGTAGTACTGAGGTCACAGAGAGAGAGTGTCAGTGGGGTCGGTTTACATAAAGCTGACCAGAGAAAGACGGCAGCTTTCCAGAGATAGCTTACCCATTTCAAACACTGAATGAAACTTTATGGTTTTGTCAGAGGCTAACCAAAACCAGCTTTTGTTTTCCTCTTCAGAGGAAAGCAGGAAGTAACTCTCGCACTGCTCTCCTTTTGTTGAGGTAACTCCTGCTGTGATTGGCCTTAATGGCTGCAGTTATAGGCTCATTTAACAGTCATTGTTGTTAACCATCCTCAAAAATAAATGTTCAGTCATACTGAACATCTAATAACAAGAAATTAAACACATCTTTTGTAACAGTATGGAAAAAAGGCCATCAATGTACCAATGTCAATCAATATATCATTCAAAAGTTGTGTTGGTAAGATATTTTGAATGTTTTTAAAAGAAGTCTCTTATGCTCACTAAGGCAAGCATTTATTTGATCAGTAACACCGTAACAACAGTAATATTGTGAAATATTATAACAATTTTAAATAACCATTTTCCATTTTAATATATTTTAAAATTAAATTTATTTAAGTTTAATTTAAAAGAAAAGCATTTTTTTTAATAAAAATATTTTGTATGATTAATTTATTTACAATTGCATCCTTGTTGAATAAAAGTATTACATTTTTTTTGTTTTATCTTACTGTCCTTGCAAATATATTATATTCATATAATATATATATCCAGTTAACTCCAGTGGCCAAAGAGTAAACTCTTGACAGTCTCTGCCCAGAGGTCAACCCCTGGGCTGTCATCACATCCAGACAGGAGAGCAAACATCCCAATTTAGAGCTGTTAGTAACAGCCAAATAAAGACTGTACAGCCTCTGTGAATTACCTCAATTCATTAGTTAAACAGTCGTGGCCTCTCAAAGGGTAATCCAAACCATGCAGCTGCTGCTGTTTTCATGTTTAAAACCATTGCATTGTTCCATTAAAAGTGGATTTGGCAGTCAAGACAGTTAAATATGTGCAAAATAACAAAATTGTGATCCAGTGATTCTAAAAGTGCTTGAATCTGTCCCAAAAGCAGTGTTAATGGCCATTAAATAAAATATCATTCTGGCACTCGACATTTATGGCTAAAGAAAGCTATGACTCAACGTGATGACTTAACATTGATGAAAGGTGGTCCTCATCTTTAAACTAAACTAAACTAAACTAAACTAAACTAAACTAAACTAAACTGAAAGATTTAATATACCAGTAAGCAGCAAGTCATTATAAAAAAATTAATTGCTATGGTTTCCACTCCTAAAAGAATAAAGTTTTCCCTCATTATTATAACACAAGACCATGAGAACCAAATTTAAGATGAGCAGGAACATTAAACTACAGGCATCTGTATGAGGCTGCTGGGGAAGCTGAAGCAATAGGTGAATACTTTTGGTTCAAGACTGTGTGGTTTTGGCTGTTCTTTCAAACGAATATATATCAGTCTTGGCTCTCTTGTATGCCTACTCCATTTCCAGAATACAGAAGATGAGAGAGGAAGATGGGCTGCAGTCCTGACATGTTCAGTGTGTGAGCACAAAACAGCATGGATGTGTGTTTTTTCTGTGTGTAGGCATGTGTGATGTTATGTTCTTACCAAATTCACTGGCGCACATGTGCTCCAGAATCACATCCGTTTTCATTTCATTGTCACAAGGAGGACAAACTGGGGAGTATCCTAAAACAGAGGAAATGCTGTCAGTGAAATGTCAGAGAAATTCACCATTGGTATCAAAATCCAGAGTAATTGTGACCAAATGTTTTTTTTTTCTTTGTCTACTTTGGTGTTTTTAGATAGACATAAAAATGTTTGCTTGTTTCGTTCTTTGCCTGGCTGTCACATGGTAATTTGAAGTAAACCAATATGATCTGTGCTATTTACATTTGTATATAATCTATTGTTACAAGTTATACAGGTTAGAAAAGGAGGCACAGGACAACACCCCAATAATGGGCTGACTGTAATTAGGACAACTATTCTTCTCCAGATACCTCCCTATAGTCATGGAAACAGATAAATTAAGCCTTGAATGTAAATTCTCTTAGTACCTTTTAAGATTTTGAATGAAATTGTATTGAAATTCAAGCAAATTATCATTATAATCTGTATTTCAACAGGATCAGACTCCCCGTCTGTCTTTATTTACGCTATTTGACAAAACTTTGATTACATTTTTGGTGACTAATTGTTTTTTCATTTGCATCTATTTAACAGATTACTGTGGAAATTGCACTCAGGTGAAAAGAGCTTGTAAAGACAGCTGCTGGCAAGGAATTCCAAAGATAAACATTTTTATGTCACAACTTTTCTGCGTAATGTAAATGATCACCCACTTGCAAGCTATCAGTGGGTCAAACCACTGTGCAAAAACTATTATTTTAAAGCATTTTAGGCTGATGGCATCAGCAGCAGTAAACTTAAACTGCCCCGCGGTAGATAAAACAGAGTTCGAAAAATTCAGTGGCTCCTGTTGAGTGTTACTTTCTCCACAGGCATTATTGCCATGGAATCACAAAAAACAGCGGACAAATGGTTAGGGCTTAACCCCTTGTAGAGAGTAGGAAGAGAGGAAATCCTTTCTTCTCTTTAACCCGACACTGCTTGAAGCTTACAGTGGGTCGATATGTGAGGGAGGGTCTAATGTATCTGTGGCTTTGGGTTCATTCGACCGTGATGCTGATAGCATGTGATAACAGCTGACAGGATCTCTATGGGGTGCTTATTAATTTAACTTCTCTCTCTGGTATTCCAACTTCCAAGCCATCATGCTAGTGAGCTCTCACTCAGGACTGTGCGTCACTAACAGCAGGCTAGGGCAGATGGCTGAAGTCACAAAAGTATCTTCTTTCAGTGTGTTACATCGTTCTGGCACACAGTCTGTTCATTCTAAAACACCATTGTAACTTTTGAAATGGAAATTCCCTTGTAATTTATGAGCCATCTACATAAGCTAGTTGTACTTTCCCTTGTCTGGGACATACAACTATAGGGCTTGAGTGTTTCCATAGGGAGCTGGTGCCAGATGCCCTGACTTACCTGGTAAAATAGTCCACATGACTACAAGATGATATACTCTAACCTACCTACTAACCTACCTAATTAGCTTTAAATTACAGGGGAGGTTTTTAATGGTAGTCTCTAAGAGTGTGGAAATGTATTTATTTCTTTTCTAACCATCGAAAATTTTAATTTTCTGCTTTGGTGCCACCAGTAAATAAAAGCAGCTGTTCAAATCTCTCCCTTTGTCTGAGCTAAAGTACTATCCTCCTGCATTACCTTATGAAAAAAATGTGTTAACAAGCACAGCAGGGAAGCCTGGCAAAGTTTTTGCTGGTGTCGTATTGAAATAGCATTACATTTACAGAAATAACTCATAAATACAGTAATAAGTCATTTTTTGCTGCCTGCCTACAGTGTCATTTTTACAAAGAGAAACTGCACTAAGGAAAATTATCTATTTCAAAAATTAGGTGCCGCAGTTGTGAAATAACACCAAATAAATAGATATGTAATAGTCTGTTGTTGGCACACATCCCAGCGTTGTCCTGGAACTCAACTAACACCCTGAAATCAATTGCTACCAGCTGTTAAACAAGCAAAAACTCAGCTCTTCATCTCTCATGCTTTACCTAGAAGCCACATCCCCTGCGTCCTCTACAGATGTTATTGTAAGGAACGTGTTACCTATAGAAATGTTCCCAAAACTGAATCACTTGTCAAATCAGATAAAACCATGAGGTATTTAAGAGCCTGAGAGGCAACAAAAGGTGTGATAAGTCTATATGAAAACCCCCAAATGGACACCGGTCCCTGAACTAACATTGCAACTGCCTTTAAAAAGTTCAAGTGTTACTTCTCACACACAGCAAAAGGTGAAAGGCTGTACCATAGGTAAAATAATACTAAATGTATACAGTATACATTGAAGCAGTCAGTATAACCTTACATGATTATCAGGATAAAAAGTGCCATCACTGAAATATACAGACAGAAAATAAATCAGTATTGGCAAAACAATTACAACTTTTTTCACCCAAATTTTCTTTGCATGTCAAAATTCGCATCTAGGTATATTAATTTCATTTGACATATTTTTGATTAGCCACACATATATATCTTCATGTTTTAGTGAAATCACATCTGATAAAAAATGAATAAGGCCAAACTTAAACTTTTCATGTTAAGCCATTTGGACTTACCAGTGGGCTTGAAGGCCTCTGTGGCATTGGGCGCACTGATGCACACATCATCTTGCGGAAACTTCTCGCAGGTGAGCATCTCAGGCCAGGGAAACCCAAATGCTTCCATGATGGGTGTGCAGCCATCACGCACATTTTCACAGAGCCAGCGGCATGGGTAAATGGGCCTCTCCAGACACACAGGGGCAAAAAGGGAGCACAGGAACACCTGAGTGCCCGGGTGGCAGTTCTTGTGCACCAGGGGCACCCAGCTCCCAGCCTGCTGCTTGACCTCAGCCATAGTCTCGTGCTCCAGTAAGTTGGGCAGCAGCATCTGGTTGTAGCCCACACCGTGACAGAGCTTCAGGTCATCTGGGATGTCCACACACTGCGGAGGCTTGTCATAGATACGGCCGCCATTGTAAAACTCTGCCTTCCAGGTATCATACACATACTCAGATGTTTGGCCCAGTGAGACCATTGGCATTATTAAAATGACGATCCTCCAAAGGAACAAAGATGCGAAGGACTTCATTGTGAACACCTGGTCAGGATCCCCAGTCAATGCAGCCCCCAAAGCGGTGAGCCTTGAGTGAAATGAAGTCCTCTTTGTCGAGAAAATAAGGAGGGAGAGCCAAATACCTCTGAAGTGAAAGTATTGAAGCTGTAGAAACTCCAGCTCTGAAGCCCCGTATAGCTTGTTGCTGACTCACACGGCTGAGTTGCTTGAAATGCGCTGCGCTCGAGACCAGGGGAGGCTGAGACCGCCTCGGCGACCAATAGGAAACTTTCTGCACCTTTTGCTTCTCATGTGTCAATCAAAGTATTCAATGGCCCAATGAATGAGCCAATATCCCCGCCCGCGTGCGTTTCTCCCACTCTCCTTTTGTGGAAAAAAGGTCCTTAATAACTTAATTTCGATAACATTATTCGAGGCATTGAAATGTATGAGGAGTTACTCGCTGAAGTCTCGTGATAATGACATTTACAATATTCTGAAAAGCCGACAAGAGTAGCCTACCTGAGGAAAACATGCACGTATTACCACGGAACTCTATGGTTTGCCGTGCATTTTTAATTCCATGCAATGCGGTTTCCTCAATATGTGCGGAATAACCTATGTTAGCTGTAATAGGCTACTGATTTTCTTGATAAACCGGCATATATGTCATTTCTGTTCACATAGCGAGCGTTTAAAGGTGTATATTTCATAAGACTTTATTTGCTCTGTATCGTGGTCTCATTTGTATTTCAACGAGCCAAATTAAGTTAAAATGTGAGGTGTGAAATCGCCCGACGCATGTTAACTCATCTGTGCAGTTGTTTTGCTAATCACATTGGTGAGATAATGAAGTCTGAAGATAGCTCAGAACTCATTACCACCAACCCCCGTTGTCAAGACATTTTAAAGCAATACGGTCATTATAATGTGCTCTACATAGCACCGTTTTAACTTGCACTAAGATTGTAGAAAAATGTGACAATGCAGAATAGCGCAAAATGTTTTCTCAACTTTTGTGTTCCTCTGTGTAGAAAATTAAGCTTAGGAGGCTGATCAGGACAGATGCCATGGTGTGTACATTATTAAACACATTCAGTCAAGGTTATCTTTCCGTTCTCAGTTTAATTTGAAAAGATAATTTTTTTTTTACAACAATTAATATACAATTTTATACATAACACCGTTTTAATCCTATAAAGCATAGACTACTGTATCATATTTGATAAGCCTCTACATACCTCTCTTCATACTTTTTTCTTCTAAAAATGTACACCTTAAGGTTGTGGCAGATGTGTTTTTGATGTGAAATCTTTCATATTTTTTATAAAGTAAATGCAAAAATAACTTGTATTGTTTAGTAGCTAATATTTCACGATTATTAAGATTAAGAACATTTCAACATTTAGGCTACTGGACTAAAGCAACTTAGTCACTTTATTGCAATGCAATATGTTCTGAACTATTAAACAATTACAACTACAGAGCACTGATCATAAACTAAGTATTTAAATCATCTTACTAAGATATATTACTGGGAGATATAGAGTGACAACTGATATTTATATGCATTTTATGTAAGTAGACATATTAAGTTTGGGCTTCTGAATAAAACTGATTTTTTTTCCCCCTCCTGAAGTGTGAGCTCCATATTCTCACTATCATACTAGATGGGCCATAAAAGCCTGATACAAATATTATACAAAACAAACTGTTTTGTCATAACTTGCCAGTAGCCAGCATCATTATAACAATTACTGTAATCAACTTAATTTCAAATGGTGACACTTGATTTTCTAAGTTTGATGATCTAATATATTTGATCAAATACCTACTGTACCGTTGACCTACTGTAGAGAACAACCATAGGATTTTAGACATAATTTCATGCATTTCCACAAAAACACACTTATGCATAATGTCTTATAGCATGAAAGACTATATGTTTCTATGAATTTGGTTAAACATATGTCAGCTGAGACTGCACTTCATCTGTGCTAAACTAAACAATAAGACATGGTCTACATGAAGGTGAACATATCTGAAAGATATGGGGCTAAAAAAAGCAAAAGTGTCAGGAAAAGGGAGTGCTGGCTTAACGGAAGGAACAACGTGAAGCCCACAACAGCCTTCAACTGAAGCATTTTTCAGCCAGCACCTTTCAAGATAATTTCTTGGCCGGTGGGTTGGCTGGCCTGGGAGTTTAGGGAGTCTCTTAAGCTGAATAAATTAATGCCTTTTCTGTTTGTATAGCCACTGGTATAGAGGGAAAAGGGCTTGATCAAGCTAATATCACACTGAGAGGTGCCTGCATGAATGCTAATTGAATGGCTGTGAGTGGAAAAGTGACCCAACAGTAGGCCTCTTAACATAACATTTAAACTAACAAAGCAAAACTGTGGTAGTTGTATTGAGTGCCCATTGGACCCTATGCAAAGTGGTTTCCTCAGCCACAATAGAGATCATTATCAGTAAAATGCGCATGCGGGTACACGAAAGGTCTAATCTTATAGTAACTGCAGCACCTGAACACAGCAACTTTCCTGATTTAAAGGAGAATAGATGGCTAAATGCAGGAATGTGATGATGCATAATGGGAGGTCTTTGTCTTTCGTTTGTAGAGTTCCACACCCATGAGTGAAAAATAAGAAATCTTAAGTTACTTAGCAAATCGCATCAGGACTAATTAAACCTGCGTTGCATGAATTCCAAAGTAGCTTCTATATTCAGTTAAACTGAAAATACGCATGCCATTTCATTTACTCAAAACGTATCCCACTTTAATATAATTGAAGACTAAGGCCTCATTTAAAATAATGTTGTCCTGACAGCTCCTGGGGAATTCACAAGACTGTATAACGCATTTCCACATTTTACACCAACCTGTGAGTGCTTGTCTGCATGTGTTGCAAAGCCAATGACTAACATTTACAGATAACTTGAACTTTCATGTTGGGATGAGGAAACAGAGAGAGAGAGAGAGAGAGAGAGAGAGAGAGAGATAGAGAGAGAGAGAGAGAGAGAGAGAGAGAGAGAGAAGGAAATACTCCTGTTGATTTAGGCTAAGAGATTAATTTTTTAAATGTCACATGCCAAGTTATAAAACATGTTCACACTCCATAATCACTCAGGCGGGAGAAAGCAGTCAGCTTTACCATAGAGAAACCGATTCTGGTTTATTGCTCGTCTCTCAAGACTCAGCTAGGCTTGAATTGGTTGCTTAATTTGTGTCTTTGTTAAGGCTTGTCCAATGAGTTGAAGTGAGTGTCATCCTTCTGCCTTTTGGGGGTTGGCTACTTTGTAAATCTTTAATTTTATGGTTTAAACTAGGCTCAAATTACAAATGAATGATAGCCAACTCTTTCTATGTCACATTGATTGCCAAGGTGGATCATAGCAACCATTATGTTTATAAACAAACAACTACTTTATGTGGGAGCAATGTGGGAGTAGGAAAAAGTATCTGTATAGTGAAAAGGAAATTATGACAGTTGAACGTTCATGCTCATAAAACCCTTAAATGTGAAGCCAGATGAATCCTATGAAGAGGTCTCAGGACCCTCAAGCTGACTGGGGTGATGTATTTTAAGTTGATCTTAGCAGGAGACAATATTTAAAATATTCATCTTTAATTGGGCATAGCAATTGAATCCTTTTTCTGTAGACCACCATAACGTCTCCAGGGCTTTTCAGGATAAAGAGACAATATATCCACCACACTGCACCGCAGGCCTTCAGAAAGTTTGCCAAAAAGTAAAAGATGGACTCTCAGACATTCACAATGTTCTGTCCAGCCGCCAGCAAGGATGACAGATTGATTTGCACTGAGGAGAAAAGAGGAAAAAGTGAGGAGCAGTAAAACAAACATGCTGTTACTTTTCTTTCACAGCTCAAAGCCAAGGAAAGCAGAGAAAATCCCATTGCCTCTGAAAGTCCATTTAGGAGCCTGTCCTGTGACGGTAGTAACATCGCAACTGATAAGCACTCTAGTCTATAGTCTACCAACCCCACTTTTTTTTTAATATAACATATCAATGATATCACCATCTAACCTCACAGACATGATTACCATTTTCCCATTTTTATGTCTGTTTATAATCACAAAACAATAACAGCATGCATTAAACCACTTATAACTTTTTACAAATACAAGCCAAATGGAGTATAACAATATGACTGCATTTTATCTTATAAGTCACTTGCAAGCCTTACCATCCATTTATTATGATTTTGAATATTTATTTGTAAAACAGCGGTTTTCACAAAATGGGTTGTATATTGTCATAATAGGGCCACAGACAGTAATTAAACAATGCAAATAATAAAATTCAACTAACCAGTCAGGATAGCTAGCTTATCATAAATAAATGAGTTAGAAGAGTTTTGAGTTATTAGCCTACATCTCTCAATCACAGGAGGCACTCATATCAAATCAGTTTTATGTTCCAAAGAGGAACACCGCAAAATGAGTCTTTACCAAATCCATGTCAGAACATCTTAATAAATATGGGGAATGCGTTTGTGACTGGGAGGGAATGCTGGAGCTCAGAGCCGTTTTGACATCCATCTGTTTATAATTACAGGAATGTCATGCCACCAAAGAACACTTTTTCCTCCTCTCTATTTTACCACTGAAACATATTTTCATCTGTAAATCATATTCAGTTGCTTTGCTGTTTTATTTCCTTCTTTAATATACTGTAAGTGTTTTCAGTATTCCCAAGGGATTTTTTGTTTAATTTAATTTTAATGGGACAATCTTTCAAAATAGTATATGTGGTTATTTAGCGCAATTTGGTCTTCCACAATTAGTTTGTCTTTTTAAAATTTCTTTCAAAAATCTGTTTTGATCCATTACATACAGTGCTGTTGGCTATAAAAAAAAACATGTAAATAATCATTATGATCCATAAATTAAACGGTATAATTATGAGGCTTACAAATCAAAAACACAATAGCTTTTTCATCCATGGCTCTGACCTCGAGCACAAAGAAGGACTAAAGTAGAATGAAATAAGGTCAGCTGATGCATGACATTCACCTGACATAGAAACATGTGTTGTGGTGGCTCTGTGACTTCATGCATGGGCAGAGACATTTGTCCAGCTCTGCAGCCTCAGGCCTCTCCTCTTTCTTTTGCACGCTACTCAGTATGAGGCAAAACAGGGCTCTTGGGACACCCTGTTTAACATTAGCACATATAAACCATCACATAAACAACATTTCAAAGCAATGTTAGCTTAAATGTGTGCCAGACATATCAGCTGT